TATATATATAAAATAGAAACACTTCTTTATCAACACATTTTTATCTTGCTCAAAAAATACTTAAATAATCACTTTATAGATTTAGAAATGTTTAGGATGTGCAAATTCTCAATGAAGTTCAAGGCTTTTAAAGTCTTAAGACGGAAAAAAATGTTTTTGAAACATCCTATGGCGAAAAATGAATTTCGAAAATTAAATTTCTATTATAAATTAAAAATTACTCTGAAAATTTTCTTTAATTTTATCGAATATTTTTAAAGTTATAGCAAAAAAAATGTAAGACAAAATATTTTTTTTTATAAAAATGTCCATATCTCCATAAATATTTAAGCTAGACTTTCGAAATTTTGTATAGTTATTGCATGTAATTATTACAATAATAGTCACTAGTTAAAAATCCATTGCTATATTTTTTGGCATAGGGTGTTCAAAAACATTTTCCGTTTGTAATTTACTGTCGGACCGTCAAACCTCTAAAAGCTTTAAGCTTCATTAATATATGTATGATAAATTGCATGATTTAAGCACTTCTTAAGTTATAAAATGATTCGCATAGTATTTCTTAAGAAATATGAAAAAATTGATTAGTATAAAAGCTTTTCCTCTATTTTGTCCACTGTATATATATATTTATAGTACCCCGTTTTTCTTTTTACTGAAGATAAAGAAAATTAAAGTAAATGGAGATGATGAGTAGTTTATAATTAAAGATATCTAAGACTCAATTAAATATCGAAGGCTAATTAAATGTCTAAGATTCAATATAAAATACATAGAATTTCTATTGGTAATATAAAAGAACATACCACCAAATTACATTCCTATTATATTTTATTGAAATTTAGTTTTGATAGTCAATGGAATTTTTTTGTTTTACACGACGTGCTTACACGCTCTACGCTCTTCAATATAGATTTGGCTGGAGCAATCCATGCCCTACGCACTGACACAGAGATTTCATCCAACGTGTATACACATCATATGCATTGCAATAGAGATTTGATCTGACGAGTATACACGTCCTACGAACAGAAATTGAGATTTGGTACAACATATATACAGGTTAACTTCTCTTAGCTGGTAATGAAATATGTGTCAAAACCAGCCGCAATTTAAAGGCTAGGTTGGGGTTAAATGCAGATTTTATTATAAGATTTTATTATACCAGAAGCGGCTACACTACACCTGACAATAACAGGACCAGCTATAAACTAATAAAATGAAGAAAACAACATCCCTACAATTCGTGGCATCTGTGCTTACCAAACGAATGCAAGCCCTTAATTTTAAAGGTTTTTAAAATGAATTTTATCTGACATAAATTCCTCTAAAAAAGAGATTATTTTTCGAATACATAAAGCAGTTTAATACCTAAATTACATGAGCAATTTAAAAAAAAGAGATTTGTAATTATTTAATTATAATTTTCGAAAATATATGTTTTGATTACTGCTTAGTCATGTTTAAAGTCATTTAAACTATATACCATATGTCTGAAAGTAGTATTGTTATTAATAAACTATTCACTGATTGACTCATTCCATATGTTATTCACCAGATTATCATTTGAATAGTTGATATTTGTTAGTGGGAAATCTATTAAATACAATGAAATAATTATTTTCTGTTCGAGGTTATTCATTACGTTTTCATCTGCACATTTATGTAATTCAGTTCAGCTAACTAAACGAATACCTCATTAATGCGAACGATTATGTAATAGACGGATATAAACTATTTGTTAAGGTTTGGATTAAATCCTTAACTAATTAATTCTGCCATAACTGCTTTTGAAAATCTACGCAATGGTGTTTTACAAAAGCTGTGTTTAACTGTAGCTATAATTTACAAATTGAAAGAAAAATTGAATAAAAAAAATCTGGTATTCTTAATTTCTTTATGATAAATTAAATATAAATATAAAAATTTAATTTCTAAAGATATAGTGCTTCGTTAATGAATAATAGGCTATATTTTGTAAAGCTGTTTAAGCTCCAGGTATACATCGTCTCAAAATATATACTACTTAAATTTGATTAAAGCATTTTTAAAAAGTGTCAAATATTACAAATTTTTGCACACCATGACTTGAAATAATAGATAAAATATCAAAATCATACTAAACAAGTTTGCTAGTATAACAAAAATTATCGAAATAAAACTAATTTTATGAGTTATTTTTAATTATTTTCATAAAACTGTATTTATTGATTTGTTTTTATTACTATTTTATTTTTTAAAATAACTATTGTTTTTCCATACAAGTATACATATGTTGTTTTTTTAAATTTCAGATGGCTTTGTAGGTGATATAGCTCTTAGTCGTTTAGAAAACGAACAATATGAAAAAGAACTCGAACAACAAGAAAAAGACAAGCAGGCGCAACTAGCCAAAAAATTGGTCGCCAGTGCCAAAAATGCCACCGAAATAGCCAAGAAAAGGCACCGGAACGCCAAAAAGTTATCCAGGAAAAACCTGAGGTGATTATGATACTATTATTTACATTATTATTAAACTAATTACTAATATTTTCATTATTATTAAACTATAACTACACGGTTAAAATTTTCAATCCAAAATTAAGGTAAATAAAAATTTAAAAAAAAAACGGCAGCTGTCGGTCCATTCGATTAACCGTTAAGTTTACGGTAAATATCAAAAGCAATTAATAAACGCTTCTTCTCACAGTTCAGTTTGATTACCATCTTATTTACGGTTATTTGACTGTTTTGTTTAAATACGGTAAAATAACAATGAAATAAATTGTTATTTCACAATTTTTTCAAGAAATTTCTAACAGTACAGCTTTGCAATTTTGATTGGAAGCAATCTTATATTGACGCGTTTTTAATTTTAACTGCTTAGACCACCTTCGCGCATGTTGTTGTAATTTTCTACCACTAGATATCTTAAATTTTTTGCCTCATTGTTATTTGGCGAATTTTTTTTTTTAAATTTTATCTACTGTAACGTAATATAATAAAATGCACTGCCTTGCTTTTTGATTTATCTGTTTTTAGCTGCTATGTTCTTTTTCAGCTTAACTTAATAATACCGATCAATCGGAGCTTTCGTATTTTTAATCTGGGCAAGTTAAAAGGTGTAGAAAACTTTCTAAGAATAATGCAAAATTGCTGATATTTAAAACAAGCCAAATATGCTAATTTTCTCAGTGGCGCTTTTGATGAAAAATGAAACTAATTAGAACTTTGAAAAAGTTAAATTGTGCACTTATCCGCTTTAATTATTTTAGTAAGCAATTAAAACATTTCAGCAAGCCAATGTATTTTATTTATAAGCATTTTGTCTGGCAAAATTAAGTGAACTTTAAATGTGATAATTTTTTTAAAGTTAAAAAAATGAAAGGAGCTAAAACAGTAAATATGTTTTGAAGCGAAAAAAAAAATTAAAGGAAGTTTCTTAGAGCACTGTTGAACTGAATCCAGCATAACCCAGTAAATGAGTATTTATGCATGAAAAATTTTAAAATCAGTCTTTATATTCATGTGACATGATTTACTGATATTTAAATGGACTTTTGATTATCAATCAGTTTTATTTTACTTTTTAAGCCTAGATAAAATATATTTTTTTTGCTGTTTATATTCTTCTTTTCTTAATGTTTAGACAAAGGATTTGAGACTTAACTGTTCTAAAGTTTAAATGAGTACACAAGCACATATAATTTATATATTTTTAATGCATCCAGACATTGTTGATGCCCAACTTGTCCCCTTTAAAAAAATTTATTGTTTTTATAAATTTAAGGAATATTACTATACAGTTAGAGAATTTTAAATTTGTATTAAAAAAATGTCAAGAAGCAAAAATTATATTTAATATTTCGCAATGAAAATTTTAACATTAGTTTAATAATTTAAACGTCTTAAATACAAATAAGAATAATCCTATTTATATTTGAAATTACCTGTGACAGTTAAACATACTATATCTTTAATTTTCGATGTTAGCCTGAGTATTTGTTTCTAGCACTCAAATTTACTTCAGAATTTAAACTATTAGCTTACAAAACTTTAATTAGGAGTTTCATTTCTTCTGAGATTTAGTCTTCAAGTTTTTTAAACATTTTGTTAGATATTATTCCCATGACAGCGCAGCGTTATAACAATGAAAAATTTTGTTTTTAAATACTGAATGCGAACAAATCCACGTAGAGGGAGGGAAATTTACTATTGCTTTTTATTCTTAAACAAATAGGATAGATTTTGCACTCCCATTTTTTTGTATTTTTTAAAATTAAAAACAGAAATTCATATTATATTCTATTTTTGCTAAAATACTTATTATACAAGTGTTTAAGTTTCATCCATAAAAATTTAAAAATTAAAATTATGAAATGTTTCTGAAAAACTCGAGAAACGTTATATTAAGAGGAAAACCACGAAAAACTTCCATGGTTTTCCTGACGGCAAAGGGATTCCCAGGCAGCCACTGAGGATATTTTATATCACTACTGTGGTTGGCACGAGTGGAGAGTAGAATTCGTACCGACCAGCATACGCTGGGATTCGAACCCGGTTCACGTCATTACGAGGCGAGCACTCTAAATTACAATTATTATTCTTTTTTCTTATTCAATGTTTTTTTCCCATTGCCGAATTGCAATTTTAATGTTTTAATATTTATTTATACTCAATGAAGCTCAAAAGTTATTTGTTGAAAAAATCAGATACGTAAGGAAAGAAATCTCTTAAAATAAATTTAATAAAAACGTGAGTACTCAAAGCAAATAGGTTTTAGCAAACAAATTTATTTATCAAAAATCGATTTGCAATTAATAGCAAAAATTTCACATAATTGAATTTTTAATAATGTGTCAAAAATATAAAACCACATTACGTTAATAAATGGGATTTTCGTGTAACTTGAAAATTGGCCCAAGTGGAAATAAATTTTGGAGCTAGACACAACATATAGCGTTTGACGCAGATGGAACACCGGCGTCCCTTTTTATATTTATTTTTTCTAATGCTCTAATTACAAATAAAAATATACTTTGGAATTGTTTAATCATAAAACACAACCAAATAGTTACTAAAAAATTCTGTTTATTCTGTTCGCAATTATTTTTGTACTGAAATACAAAATCCAGAAAAGTGGTTTGAAAACTATTTTTTTTTTCATTCATTTTCAGAAAATTATAAATAAGTTATTTTGTAAATTAACGAAATTTCAATGCTGAAAAGCTGTTACTCTTAAATCTAAATAACTATAAAAAAGTGCACATTAGAATTATTATTTGTAAGTGAAACTTGTTAAGAAAATTTTACCATTAACACGTTGAATGTCACACTAACTTTACATGGCTTGCTCGTCTGGCCAGAATGATTTTCTCAGTATGTATTGCATTAATTTCTTAAAACCATTTTAGAAACGATAACAATATAAAAAAATTAAAAGCATTAAAAACTTACTACAATTATATGTTTCTAATAATCTTGGCTTCGCCGGACACCTGTGACCCCCGTGGCGCTACGAACTAACTCAGTGCCGGTCAACGGTGACCCTCATGGCATTCAACGTGTTAACGCAAAAAAAAGACACATATGTTTCATTCTTTATTTCATTACCATAAATTATTAGAATGCTAAATAATACATTTTTCACTAATTTTCACCTAAATTAATACAAAATAATGAAAAATGTGTAAAATATACTTTGTAATGCATTTATAACATGTCAGGTCTTTGTAATAAAAAATCAATAGCAAAATATAGTCAAAAAATTAATCAAGACATTTTCTTAAATAAATAAATAGGTACCACATAATTACTCTAATTTAGAGGTTATTATCTCATAAAGCCTTTCGCCCCAGACATTACGAACTGAAGATGTATTATACTCCTGGGAAATAAAACTGTCAATTTGATCCAAAATGACCTGTTTGCACCGCGGAGTATTTTTTCCAGAGAACTTTAGTATCAGTAATGAGGCACAATTACTGTCAACCTGAATCTCGCCAAAAAGACGATAATTTGTTTCGCCAAACGAATTTTCTGTTTCAGACCATAGGAAATTGAGTTTTTTTTTCTCTCTCTCTCTCTCTCTGGGACTGTTGTTAGAGATAACTAGTAGATAAGATTATAACAAAGATACTGTGACTGTGGAGCAATGGGAGATGATTTCTATTTTTAGTGGTTTCTTTCTAATGTAGTATAATGTCTGTGCTATTTTTAAAAGCGTAATCACCCTGTGTTTTAATTTATATTTTTCAATGATAATAGGAATTCAATTTAGCTATAAAACGTAAAAATTTATTTTGACATTATTTTTAATGAAGTAAGAGAAAGAGTAATTGATTTTGAATACAATTAAATAAAATGTGTGGTGTATAAAAAAGTAAGTAAAATTGTATAAGCGGTAAAAGGAATTGAAGCTTGAAATCGATTGTGTCTGTAAGCAATTTTCTGATATGTACAAAAACTTAAAGGACTCGCCAACTGGTTGTTGCGTTCGCTTTAGACTGAAACTGATCCTGCGATTCCATTCAGATTGCTTCCTAGCTCGCGAATTGGGCGTTGATTTGTTTTCATCTAACTTATTTGAATATTTAATTTTTTTTTTGAGTCAAACTCTAAAAGCATATACATGTTAGGAATTTAAATGCATTTATTGAATTTATTTGATTTGATTTATAAGCAGATAGGTACAGCTTGGAAATTACATTTTTAACAAATAATTTGTGTAGTTTTCCCATATTCACAATTTTAAACTTCAGTAAGATGGAAGTTTTAAATTCTTTATTTTTTCATAAACACATAAAACTTGTATGAGAACAAATGAGTATGGTTCAAAAATGAAAAAGAAATATAGTGACTAAGTAGGTAGAAATAGAAGTGTGAATGTAATATTCAGACAGTAAAACGAAAACAAATGAGAAAGGTTCGAAAATAAAAAAAGGAACATAGTGACAAAGTAGGTAAAAATAGAAGTGTAAATGTACTATTCAGACAGTAAAACGAAAACTAATGAGAAAGGGTCAAAAATAAAAAAAAGGAACATAATGACAGAGTAGGTAAAATAGAAGTGTGAATGTAGTATTCAGATAGTAAAACGAAAACAAATGAGAAAGGGTCGAAAATAAAAAAACGGAACATAATGACAAAGTAGGTAAAATAGAAGTGTGAATGTAGTATTCGGACAGTAAAACGAAAACAAATGAGAAAAGTTCGAAAATAAAAAAAAGAACATAGTGGCAAAGTAGGTAAAAATAGAAGTGTGAATGTTTCTTTTCAGACAGTAAAACAAAAATTGGGTTGAATTGATTAGCATAAATAACACAAGAGTGAGCTTTCCTTAGTATTTAGAAAGTTTCTATGCGCAGTTGTAGATTTGGCATACAACGATTTCATTAATTCCAATCTTCAACAGTTTCATTCAAACGCCTCTCTCTCCTGTTGTAACAACTAAGCATCCTTCAAACTAAAATACATCCCTAAATTACGTAACATTCGCAGATATTTAAGCGGGGAGATGCTTGCAATAACGCGAATTGTATTTATGAAACTGTGACTTTAGTATAATTTCATTTCCTTTAGAAACTGAATAAAATTAGCTCTAAATTAAACAAATATTGCATCCTTGATTTCATTTCCTTTACAAACTGAATAAAATTAGCACTAAATTAAACAAATATTGCATCAAAATAATCTCTATATTTATATCTCTACGAAGCATCAAATATTTTTTTCTCTATCTAAATTGGCTGCCTTTAAATAATAATAATAGTTTTAAATAATTAGTTATACGTTAAGTATTTGTTTCGATTCATTTTAAGTTGTCTAATTTAATTAGCGTTAAATAGTTTTGCGTAAATATTTATTTAGATCCTATTAATATTTATTTGGAATAATTTTATATTTTTATCCAAAAAACTCAATTACGAAGTAATAATTTTAATTCATCTTTGATCCCTTGTAAAATTTCTGTAGAAATTTTAAACACAAACGGTGATATGGTGCTGTCATACCAGTATAAATATGTATACTCTCATACAAATTTATTGATAATGAAGCTCGCCTTTGTCGATACCTAGTCTATATTACACAATACTCAAGTCATAACTCGAGAGGTGCGTGAGGAAGTAGTACAGCACGTAATAGAGCATTGGGATGAGTTTTGTATCTCACGACAGACAGGAAAATAACTTTAATATTTCTGCTGCCCTCTATGCTGAATCGTTTTGAATTTATACCTATGGTGGCTTGTGTGATTTAATAGCTGCCATATAGTTTTTAAATTATTGCTAAAACTCAATGCATAAAGAATTTGGACAATGTCGTGGACATCTCTTATAAATAGCTAAAATTGAAGTAAAAGTACTTTGACGTGCGCAAAGTGGCGGTCAACAGCTATTTTTTCCAAATCTGTCATTCAAGTTGTAATATTTATCAACAAATAAAAGAACTTTTAAAATTTCACTAATTAATAAATCTTGTATAAACTTTATCACAAAACGTAAATTAATAAATGTTTTCCCTTTATTTTCATTTATTTCGTTACCAATGCATTATTTGCAATAAACAATACTTACCGAGCATTGATCCTTCCAAAATTTAGTCAGATTACTCAACTTAAATTTCTAAAACCTGATAGAACTAAACAGAATCCAACTCTTCATTTGCATATTGTTTATTTAAACAAATAAGTGAATGGTTATGATGTTTGCTTTACAATCGAAAATGCATGATATTAATGTTTGCTTTTAAAGCTTTTGTAACAAATTTAGTTCCGTGAATAGCAGAGAACGTTTCATCGAATGACGACTCTTAGTAGAAATCTATCTTCTGTTTCAAATCCCTTGTTAAACCTTTTGTTTTATGTTTTATTTTTATTTTTTTCCGACTACTGATGTCCAGTATGTTATTTTCCATTAATTTGATTTGGAAGAAAATGAAAAGATTCGAAAATACAATGGTTAAAGATTCATTTTCCTTTTGCTTTCTTTTTTTTTATGGATCTTGGATAATTTATTGACTTTTCTAAGGAATAATAGTAAATAACAATCCTTATTTTATTTTTTATCGAATAAAATCTAACAATGTGGCTTTGTCAACAATAATAAATATTTATAATTTGGTTATAAATTGTTTTCAAATTCTTGTTAATTTCTGATCCTTGAACTTGAAAGCGAGTGTATTTTGGAAGTAAGGAGTTTTCAAAACATTACAGTACATTTTAATATTCTTGGAATGGTTCCTGTATTACTTAAACAGTTAATTGAAACCCTATTGTTCTCTCGGATTATTATTAAACAACATAATTCACATGACTTCGGACTGTAATCTATCTTATTGTATATAACACTAATATGGATATAGAGATATCTAAGCTGACATAACTTCAGTTACCTGTTCGCTGGCAATCCATCAATGATCAATTAGTTACAGATTGTAACCAACATGGATACGACTCCTTTGAATGGGAATGCAATTTTTATAGTATATTTTTTTGTTACTTGAGTTGAATGACATTACATAAATATTTTTGTTATAATATTTTTTGCTTCTTAATTCTTTTAACTTTACTTTGGATCTCATACATTAGGTGGTTGAAGAATCTCCAAACTGTCATTGACGCTAGTGGTGCTTAATTAATTATCATAATAGATGAATGATACTATAGGTATTGTCGTTGTAGATATCTCGTATACTAATACAGATACTGTGATAATAAATTTTTCGTCTCTCGGAAATGTAATAGTTCCGAAATGTGTAAATCATAGTATTTCACGGGATACATATGTTGCATATATTAAGAACTTGTGAAACAAAATGAGAAGAAAATTAACAAAATGAAAGTAAATCGAGCTTAGATTTCGGAACAATCTAAAGAGAACTGCGAAAGTAGTGCCAGGGGTTGGGGAGCACAGCTTGGGCTGGTAAGCTCCCTATAGTTCTCAACTACATTTAAATAAAGATTCACAATGCTCAAAGAGATCTTACTAGCATGAAGTAATAGATGTTAGTATTTTATTATATTTGTATTCATATATATTAAAATCTGTTAAAACCTTAAGCGTTTTCATTTTGTGTCTTCTTCGACAAGAGTAAATAAAAATATCGGCTACCATGCAACAGTAAATAATTGTTTTATGAAATTGCTTAATAATCTTTATGTAAAACTTTGTCTGCTTTTAGGACTTGCCATACATTTCTTCCGGCTAAAATTATGAGCATTATTAAAAGACAGGCCTGAAAATGAGTATTTTTAAGGAATAATGTGGAGCTTTATTGAACTTATTTGGTAGATGCAATCACAAAATATTTTCTAGCAAAATAGAAGCTACAGAAAGAAAAATTAATTGTTTGAAAGGTTTTTGAAAAAGTCAGTGAAGGTTATGTTGTTAACCCAGTAGGGCTCCATCTTTTAGGGAACTCAAAAAAATTTTTATCGTGTAATCTTCTCCTGTTATTCCTCTCCTTAATTTTCTGCATCGCGCCTATGTGAAAACTTTATCCATGGCGGGTTTAACTTTTCCTGTTTTGCTAATGCAAACCATATTTTTATCCTGTTACAGAATAGAGATCACGGCCAATCACATATGTAAGTGCTCTAAAAGACTACACCACCTGTTCTCAGTTTTAATGTTTTTTTCTAATGGGTTGGGAGCCATTTATATTTTTCATCAATGTATGATAAAAACTTAGGACAATATAAAGATAGGCGACATTTCCATTTCAGGACAGCATTTTTTTGAGAACAGCGGTGACCGATCTCCAAGTAGGCAGTTAAGTGTTACTTTGTATTGTGCTGCTATCTAGTGTTAATTCTGGAAACTAGATACATATGTGAGAGGAGTGATAAAATACAGTTTGGTATGAAAGTATTATCTTTAAAAAATTGATTTCACAAAAAGTATGATGCTAAGGAAGAAAAAGTATGGTACCCTTAGGAAAAAAATGATGCTAAAGACCTTTATATTGGAGAAAACTCTGGCACTAGTCTAGAATCTCGTTCACCGAGATAGTTGTCTCAAATTCCACCAAATTGATATTTTAACCAGTGCATGCTTAGTGGAGGAAAAGAATTGAGGCTGAGTTTATTTTCAGAAATAACTAATCATAAATGTACTTTAAAATCAGGAATAACAAAAAAGCTATTTTAATGAAAAAGCTGAATAACAACTGAAAAATGAGAATAACTACGTATTTAGTATGTAGTTTTTTGTTGTTGGTGCGTGTTTAGTGCCATTATTTTATTTTGCTGGAAATGTTTAACAATATTTTATATAAATACCCAATAGGTGAAAAAACAGCTTTTAAAATTAGGAAATATTGAATTATTACTGTTGACATAAATCCTCACACGAAACATAACAATTTGTTGATTGTCGATTTTGTTAATTAGTATTTTTACACAATAAGAATTACAATTAAGAATTACAATTTACCATCGCAAGTGCATTCATTTAAGGATAAACTGACACCAAACCAAGTAAATGGGAACCAATGAAAGATTCCAATAGAATTGCAAAGCTTTTGACAGAGGTGTTGGCGAGCTTAAATTCATCCAATTTAGGGACTTGGTGCCAAAATATCTTCCATCGGCGATGCAATATTTGATATTGTTACCCTATTTTCTAAGGAATATGTTTTGAAACTTTTCAATTAAATGTTTCATTTTAAGAGCACTTGTAATTTGATTTCATGACATTTCAGGTCTAAGAAACGCCTGAGGCATTCAGGAAAGAATCGACGGAAATTAATCCCTCTCGACAGAACGAAGCGCGCAGCCACTGCACGGCCCGAGAGATTATGGGACAAAGCTGTAATTCCCTACGAAATTGAATCCAATTTCAGTGGTGAGTTTCAATATTTAATCTTTTAGTTTTATGTGACATTTAATCCAAGTTAATCCAAGTCAATAGTGTTTTCCTTAAAATTATCAAATATTTCACATTCATTTCGGATAATTAAATATACTTTTTTATTGGAAGCTTTTCGATTTTTATAAGATTGCTACTGAATAAAGTTAATGTTTGCTCAATACATTTCACAAACTGAAGAGAAAATTATTTAATTTACAAAACTTCCATCGCCTTGCAATGAAATTCTAAAGTATTCAATTTTATAGTTTCTAAAATGATTCAAAATTAATAATTTTACTTAGACTTGATTATGAAAACATAAGTTTTTTTTTAATTAGAATAAAATTAACGTTCCTCAAATAAAGAACTAATATTAGAGTTTCTAAATTTTGGTGGATATTTCTAAAGAGTTACTCGTTAATTTCCATTTACAACACGTGGTTTAAACTTATTGTGTCAGTTTTTCTGCATAGATCACACCTACTGGAGTTGGCTAAAGTTCTCATAGTGCCGCCATCTATTAATGAACTATACAACTAATTTTGAATTTCGTTGCGAACAGTAACTCGTTTCCTAAGGAAAATGTAGCAAATATTGAGTTTTTATCTTTCGATTTTTCACTTATTGATTTTTTAAATCGTCAATCATTTAATACGCAATAAATATGGAACCGGGAATAACCGGCTCCGTACTAAGAAATTATGTTTCCTTATGTGCTATTTTCTCCATTTCAAATTAAATCACTTTTTTATGTCAAAAAAATTGAATAAATTTTGTATGTAAGAAAAATTGTTCTACTAGCCATATTTTAAATTTTGGCATTTCTTGATTCCCATAATTTATATTTGCAATATTACTGAGCAAAACAAAGCAGATTAAATTTAAATGAAATAAAATTGAATAACACCAAGTGCAACTGTTTTCAAAAATACTAAACATTTTGCAGAAAATGCTGTTATTTTATACCTCTATAATTTGCTCATATTTTTTCCGTCCAACAAATGAAATATAAATTAAGTATGGTATACTTAAATAAGCAATATCCTATTATAAATGAACTTCTTAAAAATTTTGTAGCGAATCAGTGACAGTATCTCCTAATAGAAACTTTTTTATCTCATTTGATTAGCATATCATGAATAGATAGTTAAATTGCACAATACCAATTCCTTCAAAGGCAAATAATAAGAAAGAATACATCAAAAAAGAAAAAATTCTGAAAACTTTTACATCAAAGTTAACAAATACTAATTTACCTTAAAACTTATTCAATTCAGAAAATCTTTCATTTAATTGAATTCTTCGGGAAACAAATAAGTTTACGAAATTCAAATAACATTAATTCACTCAAAATCAGGCTAAATAAATTAAACTCAATTTTAAAGAATATCTTTAAAAGAATTTTTATTTGCATCAAATGGAAAATTACTGCGCACAATTATTTAAAAAGATAAATAGAATTAAATGAAAATCAAAAGTTCTTGATTAAGCGAAATTCTTCAACTAAAAAAGAAAAATCCTTTTTTTAGAATTATTTTCTCGTTTGGAATATAAATTACTCAGTAATGTTTTATTAAATTAATTATTTGGCTGTAATGCATTAAGAAGTATGTAGGTAAACAAAGAGAAACAATTTGTACTTCGTTAAAAAATAAAATTGCGTATTGTTGTTTACATTAAGAACCACATGGTTTCATAATAGGGTTTTAATTAGTTGAAACTTCAATACAGTCTGAGAAAAATTGGCTGGGTTCTGAGAAAAGGTTGGCGGAGCCCGGAGAGAAGGTTGGCTGGGGTCGAAGAGAAGGTTGGCTGGGGTCGTAGAAACGGTATGCTAGAGTCAGAGAAAAAGTTAGCTAACGTCGGAGAAAAAGTTAGCTAGCTTCAGAGTCGGAGAAAATTGGCTAACGTCAGAGTCGGAGAAAATTGGCTAACGTCAGAGTCGGAGAAAATTGGCTAACGTCCGAGTCGGAGAAAATTGGCTAACGTCAGAGTAGGAGAAAATTGGCTAACGTCAGAGTAGGAGGAAATTGGCTAACGTCCGAGTAGGAGGAAATTGGCTAACGTCCGAGTAGGAGAAAATTGTCTAACGTCAGAGTCGGAGAAAATTGGCTAACGTCCGAGTAGGAGAAAATTGGCTAACGTCAGAGTCGGAGAAAATTGGCTAACGTTAGAGTCGGAGAAAATTGGCTAACGTTAGAGTAGGAGGAAATTGGCTAACGTCCGAGTAGGAGGAAATTGGCTAACGTCCTAGTAGGAGGAAATTGGCTAACGTCAGAGTAGGAGGAAATTGGCTAACGTCAGAGTAGGAGGAAATTAGCTAACGTCCGAGTAGGAGAAAATTGGCCAAAGTCAGAGTAGGAGAAAATTCAGTAGCGTCGGATTTGGAGAAAATTAATTGGTGTCGGAGTTGGAGGAAATTTTGCTAGATTCAGAGTTGGAGAATGGAGAAAAATTTAGTCTTTGTTAGAAAAGTTTGACTCCTACGCTTCTCAGTTGAAAATCTGGTTTTACAGATTAAAAAAATAAATTTTTGATGTTATAAAAAGTATTTAGATAAATATTTAAAATTAACTGAACAAAACATTTTAATCTGAAGAATATCATAAAAATCATTTAAAATATTATTTATCATCATATTTTATCGTTTTTGACTCTCTTTCAGCAACCTATCAAAAAAGAAATAGAAAAACTCCTAAACTTTTGAAAATTTGATATTAATAAATAAATTTTTCATTCATAAATTCTAAACTAAGTTTGTGTACCTAAATTAAAAAATTTCATTAAAAAGATATACATATGAATTTAATGTATCATTTATAATAAGCACACCGGACAAAAAATTAGTCACCCTTAGAGAAATCACAAAAACCATCATTTAATCGCGTATAACACCACCTCTGGATTCGATAACCGCCTGAATTCGGTTAGGAAGTGAGTCCACAAGGTTTTGCAGGTACGTTGAATCCAGTATAAGCCACTCGTTGAGGATTTGATCACGCAAATCCCCCAAATTGTGAGGATGCTGATTTCAGTGTTTTACCTGTTGTTCCAACATTTACCACATATATTCAATGGGGTGCAAGTCAGGTGATTTTGCAGCCCAGTCGAGATGCAATTGAGTATCTGAGTGTTCGTAAAATCAGTCACAGATTCTTCCAGGCCAATGAACTTTGTTTAGTCATCTTGAAACATAGGGGTATCGATAACACACTTTTTATGAGAATATTGATTGAAGGGCAACATCTAATCATCCAGAAAGTTGAAACAAACATGTTTGTTCATGTTAGGGGCCACCTCAGTGAGGGGGCTCAATCCATAGTAAGGAAAACACCCCTAAAATGTGACAAAACCACCCTTGGCCTACACCTGACCTTGCACACAGTTAGGATGAAATGCTTCATCTGTTCCTCGTAGCACTTGTCGACGTGCGTCTTTTGAATAAAGATAAAAACATGATTTGTCTGACCATATTACCATCCGCCAGTCTGCAACTGGCCACGTTCGGTGACTTCTAGCCCACTGAAGTCGTGCAGCTTTATGTGCCTGTGTTAGAAATAACCCCTTACGAGATGTTCGGCTCCAAATGTTCATTTCATGCAGCTCCCATCGCAATGTTCTCTCACTAACCGGTTGGGATGGACCTTCATTTATAAACTGAAGCAATTCCAGTGGGGTTTGGAAGCGATTTTGAATGACAAGTAGTGAAACACGTCTCCGGTCCCTTTCATGCAGGATCTTTTTCCGACCACAATTCTGATGTCGTCTTTTGTGACCACGTGTATTACACTACTGCTTGTAGACGCGTTAAACAGTCCACATCGAAACACCAACAAATCCAGCAACTTCATTCACCGTATGACCATGGGCACGGCCAAACACAATTGCCCCTTTTTACCACTCTATCACATCCTTACTTTTACCCATATTTATCAAAATTTTCGCTTCAAACAAATACATCTCACTGATAGCTACTTGCCTTTGATCACGTTGAAGCTGTGAGCCCGCAGTTGAACACGTCACTTGACGACCACGTCATTAAACAAAACTTAACGATTCATCGATGCTTGCGCACTAGGGTGACTAATTTTTTGTCCGGTGAGCTGGATGGATTGGTGATATTGATACTCAGAAATTTTCTTACAATGGTTTTTCACAATTAAAATATTTCATACACTTTTACAGCTAGCATGTTGTAACTTTAAATAAATTATCCTTAACTCTAATTTTACATTTAGACTAACATTTACTTAGTAATAATTTTAATTTTTTCTTAGGATTATCGAATATAAGTAGGAGTTTGTGACCTCAGTCCCCCACTCCACAACTCTTGTTAAACAATATCATGAAGCCAAGCTAAACTAAAGTTTTCCTTTTGAACTTGATAACATGATAGTACGAACCTTAAGGGAAATATGGTTAATATTAAATTTTGCACGATATTATGTTTGCAGGATAATATGGTTTAAGTTATTAATGCATACTTTGAACCATATTATCGTGTAACAATATATAATTTATAAGATTTCCCAGGTTTATCAAATATAATTCGGAGGTTGATTGACTTCAGTCCCCAACTCCACAACTCTTGTTAAACAATATCATGAAGCCAAGCTTAACTAAATTTTTCGTTTTAAACTTGATAACATGATAGTACGAACCTTAAGCGAAATATGGTTAATATTAAATTTTACACGATATTATGTTTGCAGGATAACATGGTTTAAGGTATCAATACATGCTTTGAACCATATTATCGTGTACCAATGTATAATTTATGAAATTTCCCAGGTTTATTAAATACAATTCGGAAGTAGATTGCAATTAGTAACTTTAACCACCAACTCCACAGATCTGGTTCAGCCATACTATCATTCCAAGTTAAACTAAATTATTTCTTTTGAACTCGATAACATGCAATATGGTTGATCCTTAAGGGAAATTAAACTGTAAACTGGTTCAATTTAAACTGTATGGTTGCACGATAGAATAGT